TATCTATTTATTATCTTTTAGTTGTTATTATTATTATCGTTACTATTGTTACTAATATTAACATTACTCTTATTATACATTTTTTTCGTTATATTTTTTGTTAGAGAATATCACGCACACGTCTTGTATCCTCTATGTTCTGTTACCATATCGTTTGTATGGTATTGCTATTATTTTTAACCAGTGTGCGTATGTATGTTTCCATTTTTTTTTAGCGTTATCGATTTTTTACCTGCTTCTGTTAATAGATAATCTTTTGTGGCTCGTCAGAGGGCCACAAAGAGAAAAATCTTTTTTTTTATACGTATTCTATAAAAGTTGTTTCTAAAGAAGAAGAGATGTTTAAACGCCTAAATATCTGTTCGTAATAGAATTATTAGTTATTTTATATTTGCTCTCTGTACAATTTGATGTTCGCTTGCAGCTCGTCCAAAGACGGCGAGATGAAGAAAAAAAGCGCTCTCCACTATATATTTATGCACGTATGTTTCTGTGTATCCTGTTTTCCTATACAATCCTATGTTAATATACAAGCTCTATTATTCTTAAATTCTCCTTTTTTTTATGAATATTATTATTATTTATATTATTATTGTGCTTATTATTATAACTATTGTAGTTGTATTGTTGTCAGTTAATGGCTTGCAGTCACTTTAAGGATCTCGTGGTGGTGGTAGTTATGGCGGAGGCCTTATACGCTTTTCATTAGCCTTATCGATTTCTTGCTTCTTCACAATTTTATTTTCACCTTCTATATCGTGTATAAGTTCTTGTATAACTTCTCTCTCGTTCGTAAACGATGTGCTCGTTGTTTTCGCTACCTTTTTCATATTTTCCTCTTTGCGCATGTACGTTTGTTTATTGTCCGTTGTTCCTGGCAACAAAATTTGCTCTTTGTTATTTACCACTGCAAGGGAATCTTTTTCTTTCTTATCTTTCGGTTTTCCCGAAATTTCCCATTCTCGTCCTGTATCTCTATCACTGTAGCTGCTAGTGCTTGATATGTCTTAAATGTCTCTAAGTTTTCTGGGATCATTTTTAACCACTTTTTTGTCTGACTCGTCTGATTCAGATGTTTCTACTTTGTCTTCCTTATTCTTCCATGTCAGATTCCTTTGTCTCCTTGTATGCATCTTATGAAGTCGTGCTGGTGGTGCATTTGCGTCTTCGTAAATGTCCCTTCCCTGTTTTTGGTACCAATATGGTGTAAATTACTTTTTGGTTGAACTATTAACAACAATTACTAATCGTATGTTGGATATCGTTATTCACTACCGTTCAAACATCTTCGTGCGTATTTACATCGGTGATCTTTACCGATCTCTCCTTGGCTTTAAATTACTCCAATGGCGTAGTCGGATGAGTTGGTTGTTATAATAAGGGGTTCACTTATATCTGTATCTTGGGATACTGGTTTACTGCACAGAGCGTCTTTTAGTTTTATAAACACACGTTCTTTTTCTTCCTTGCATTTAAATTCAGCTGTTTTTTTTTTGTAAGTTTTGAGAGTGGTTGGGCTATTCAGACGTCATCTTCAATAAAGCGTCAATAACATCCTGCTAACCCAAAGAATTGTTTCATTTTTCTCGTATTTGTTGGCTTAGGAGAACTTTTCACTGCTTTAATTTTGTCTGGATTTATTTGGATCTGGCTATTGCCTACAATATGTCCAAGCTCGTTTGCTTCCTTTCAGAGAAATTGACATTTTCTCGGTTTTGTTGTGAGGTTTGCATTGGCTAACCATTTTGAGAGTCTTTTGAACCTTATCCCATATTGTTCCAAGTTTTCTGCGAATACCATAATGTCATCTACGTATACTTCTATCTCACGTTCTTGTAGACCCACTAGTCCTAGTATTATCACTCGCATTAATGTGGTTGGAAGGGTCTATGCATCCCATCGGCATTCACTTATATTAGTTGTGTCCGTTTGGTCCTGAAAACGCTGTTTTATAAGCGTCCTTCTCGTAAATTTTAACTTAGAAGAGCCCACTCTTTAAATCCATGGTAATATATTTTGCAGCTGCCAAATTTTTCAAAATTTCATTCTGGAGTAGTAATGTATAGCACTTACCGATTGTTATCTTGTTTAGTAGCTTAAAGTCTGTTACGACCCTCTATCGTTTTTCCTCGTTTGGTTCCATGTTTTTCGGGACAATCCACATATTTAAGATGCATAGGGATGTTTATGGTTGGATTATTATTTGTTGCTGCAATAGCGTCTCTATTTCGACCTGCATCTGTTCCTTTAGTTTTATCGAGTACCTTACTCTTTTTGCCACAATTGGCTATTTCATTAACGTTGTTTCCATGCTTTAGTAAGTTTGTAGCCTTTAGTGGCTTGCCATCGAGGCTAAATACTCAAAAACTGTATTCTATGAGATTTTAGATATGGTCTTATTTTTCCGTGAAACAGCCTGATGTATCAATGATTTTCAACATTACGTTTTTTCATGATACTATGTTTGATTTCTTATGGTTTCCAAAATTTTTAACGCTGTTATTAAAATTATCCCTATCTTAACTATTGATTACCCTTCTTTTTACTGTTTTTTTATTATCTTTCATATTTTCGTCCAAACTTTTTATATTGAACAGCCTGATCATGGCTTTATTTAGGCCTTCGGCATCATCCCCAGCGATGCCGAGTGGCTCCACCTCTTATCTGATTTCGCATTCAAAAACACTTACCTATGGTATTGGTACCTGAATTTTTTTATATGCTGTATTTATTATCCCTGCACATATTTTTAAGTTTTTCATTTTCTCCAATAAAGTTACCGAATAAGATTCCCTCTTTTATGTTTTATAATAGAATCCAGCCTACTTGTATGTGGCTGCTTTCATCATTCATGTAAGCAAATATTGTTTCTCTCGACCTTGCGGAGATTCTCAAATATTTTAGTTTCAATAGTGAGATTTTAATGCCTTTTAATTTTAAATAACTTACTCTGGAGCTCATGAGGCCCTTATTACGCTTAAAAGCGTCCCAGCCAATAATGAATTCCATCTTTATCGGAAAAGTATCTAAGACTGCATGCAAAGTAATTATGATACCGTCAAGAGATATTTTAGTCGTCCCAAATGTGCAGCATGCTCCATATGTGACGCCAGGTATTAGGACTTTTTCTCTGCTCTCTATGCGCGTGTCTATAGTGAGACAGCATTTCTTTATAATTGATCCTTTGGCACCAGTATTCGAGTTAAATTTTGCGCTACGTGATTGCAGCTGATTGCTTCTTAATATTACTAATGGTGATTTGCTTCCGGTACTCGATATATTTACCTTGCGGAGAGAAGTAGGTTCATGTTTTCATTGATGTATTTTTTGTCAGCTGAAGGGCTTCTAGTCGTAGATTTTATTTCAAATCTTTTTTTTTCGTAAACACTTGCAGTCGTTTGAGGAGCCTGCTAGAGGCCTGTTCCTCCAGGGTCTATTTGCCTGATTTTGTTTGCTCCATCTCTTTCTTGGTGGCCTCTGTCCCATTCTTACGCTCTATCTCTTTTTCTATTTATGTGGCCCGCTCGGCGCTTGGGGACCATGACGATCATCCTGCGAGTTCAAATGATCCGTACTATAAGTAAAACTGTTTTCATCAGGTGCATTATTTATTTTATCCGGGCATCCTCTGTCATAATAATTTTCACTCCAGTTATAATTTTTATTACAGTCATAATTCTTCTACAACTATTGTTGTTACCATCTAGCTTGTTGTAACCATTATTGCTGTTTCCTAAATAATTAGTGTTTCTGTGTAGTTATTGTTACATCTGTTGTAACCCGCATTATTACAGGTGTTTTATTTATTATTGTAATTGTAGTTCTGATTATTCGTGTAAGGAGGATGATCATAACTATTCCGGTGGTTAAAACTTCCTTCTGTACAATTACGGTAACCGTTGGTGTATTTTTCCTACCCGTCACTTCTATTTAATCTTCAAAACACTGAATTTAGCATCCAGCACTTTTAACACTGCTTTTTTATATGCAATGGGCGAAATATTTCTTTTTTTCTTTATTTAATTACGTTGATTAATAAAAAAAAAAAAAAAAAACTTTTTTTTCTTTTCAAGGCTAAGTGATTCCGCGCATGTGATGGACCGTTAAAAATAATGTCTCTTTTCCACTTCTAACACCAGCTGTTACGTGGTTTTTTCTGTTCAGAAATAAATAAAAGAGCGATTTCTGCTTAACTTATACTTTATTAGGGCTCTTTGTATTTAAGGAAAGTTGCGCGTTTATTGTAGTCTCGCGGACCTGGTCTTTTCGTTCTAGAGTCTCTAGCTAATGTCTCCCAACTTTCTTGCATCACCGTTTCTTTTCTATAACTATTTTTTTCTATTCCCCTACCCTTCTGAGCCCAGGCCAGTAAGGGTGCACACACGCATAATTGTTTGCTATCGTACGTAAAAATAGTATAATTAACGATGTACAAAGATTACGCCAATCTGCCATCAAAAATCAAACAAATGAAAATACGTCAAATAAACTTGGACGGAAATTTACCGTGGTTTTTATACCTTTATCTCTAAAATTTTTAGTCTGCCTAATGCAGCTTTCCTTGTATATTTCAACTTTACACGGAATATTATCTCAAGTGGGGTTGTAGCTAAGTATCTTGAATAAAAATTTTTTTGTAAGTGTATGATTGCTACCTAAGCTTTAAAACAGATTTTGATATTGGTTATAATTGCCAACTACGCGTTTAATTATAAATTTTAAAATAGTCAAAATGCTGTAAAGTATTAAAACATGGAATAATTGCAATGCTCTCTTTTACCAACTATTTCTTCAAATTATTTAGTTGACTAAACGTGTTTCGAATATGTAAATAATAATAATATGGGGCTTATACATTTACAATTAGGTTTTAAAAAAGTATTTTTTTTTTTGTAAATTATATAAATACATAAAATTTCGGCTTATGATGTTTAAAGAAACATAATTTCACTCTTAATTGTAACCATAAAGTTAATTTTAATTATTTATTTGTGTTGTAGAAAAAAAAACACAATTCAGAAATTTGATCCACCTTACTCAAAAAAGATAACTCAGCAATGTTTTAGCTCACCTACTAGTAATCAGAACTCTGAAATAGCAGCCTTAGATAGTGTTAACAAGATTCTTAAATTTGGCACCATGCCTCATTACAGGTACGTATTACGAGCTTATAATTAAATGAATAGCGATTATCACTCACTATTTGTAAGATAAGTTTTAACTTTAAATTTCTTAGCAATTAAGATTTTAGGTATTAATTTTATTAACTGTTATTATGCCAGTCCTGTTGATTAATTATGAGAATAAAAATAAACTGTTACTAAAATTATAAAGAAGCTATTTATAAGAGAAAAATATTATCAGTATCATATACATACATTCTGTAAAGTTGTCACTTGATTTATGCTCTGCTTATCCGTAGAAAGAAGCGCTGTAATAAAATATATAAGAGTAAGAGCCTAAAAATAAGAGATTGTATTGTGTGGTTGTATCCTAAGTATAAGGTTATAATTTTTTGGCTGACGATATTTGGATGTAGATGTACTTGTGATAAGCCAACAATTTTAATAGCCCTTTTGCTGTGTCTGGAACGTGGTGCAATTATCGTTATAATAAGGATACTCAGAAGTAAGGTGTTATTTATAAAAAGCTTTAAATTTTAATAAGCGGATAATTTAAAAAAGTATATTATGATGATAAAAAAGACTCAGTAAAGCCATGTCACAACGTGCTGTTTGACTGGACCACACAAAATTGTGCACTTTTGTCAAATCCCTTGGTGATTTTAAAACAACTTTGTACCACTTACCCCAACTACATCTCTAAATTAATGCTAGCATTTTTTAAATACGCCCAATCACTCATTCTTCATAGCAATTATAACCCTTGTTATGAATACGTCTCAACATAAAATAAGAAAAAATATCTTGTCGTATAACTTCATTTTAAATGTATTAGTATTACTTGCCAGTAAATGCAGCGTATCCCAAAATATCAACTTATTTAAAACGAAAAAAGTTTTTTTTTAATAACATACGTGGTAAAACCCGTACTTTTATAAGATGTATTAAAAAATATTTAGTAAAATCTGTTTAAATATTTAGTAAAAGTCCAATTATTAGTATTTCTCTATTTGTAATAATGAACTAATGACTTTGGAGTATTAATTGTCAGGCGTAACCATTAAGGCAGCATATGTTAATGGGCCAGTAGCAACCTACAGCCTTATCAGGCTGTTTATCAGCACTTCGTGTTCCTTAAATGTACTACTAACAAAATGTTTTCCCAGCATTAAATTTAAATGTATTGATCCACAAAGATAATGGTTTTTAAAAATCTGTGAATAATGCATACATGTCAAGCTCCATGCTTTAAAACTAGATTGATGTATATACACATTAAATTTGATCGAGATCACTTTTTTTTAAACTGCTAAAATGTTACTTTCTATGAATAATGTATGATAATTATAGTCATTTTTTGCTACAGTGAATTGGTTATGCTTGTCTCTTAAAATCTTAACAAAAGTATTGACATCGTAAGTCTCACTATTATCATCTTATTTGTCATTTATCTCTGTGCAAATTCCAGAAAACATTAAGGGCCTAAATTAATATCCCTACGTCAATATAAAAAAAGTATTTCAAGGCTTAACTTTAAAGTCAACGTACGTAACAAGTAACTAAAGCTCTTTGATATGTGCACGTTATTATTTCAAGACAAAAAACTTTATTGCGTACGCCAGGTTTAAAGTAACATACTAAGTTTGGCACAACATGGTACAATCTTATTCTCATTTAAGACTTTACGTATTTCTAGAAATGAAGTGAGCAAGAAAGTATAATTTTTCCACCATCTTATTCAAGGTACTATTTCTTATAAACTATAACTATTTTTAGATAATTTGTATTTCTTGTCTTATTCAGACAATACACAGTTATGTCTAATTTTTAATATGTATAAATGTCTTGAATCAGCGATTTTTTAGGTTTATTGAGACTGACGCGGACTATTCAGCAAAACGTTACAGGGAGAGCTTTTATTAAAAAAAATTAAGATACTTCGTGCATTAATTTTTTTCCTTATTAAGAACAACTTATTTATTTCCGGACTTGCATTGTACATCTACATAATTTTTTTTTTTTTTTTTTTTTTGAACAAAACAGTAATAAAACTATCGGCCAAACCATTTCATACGAAGTTATTTTTCATACCAAAAACATTTAACAACAACTATGTTTCTGCAGTCTAGGACGTCACAATAAGTTTCAAACAAATCTCCGAAACGTCTATTGCTTAAAACGGTTCAAGTCCTATCTTTCTCATGGATTCAGCCTTTTTGTATACACTGCAAACATAATAATTATAATAATTTACAATAACGAAGCGCATTACATGATTTATATTAATTATGTTTTCTTCATTCTTAACTTTATAAAAATAAACCTATAATTGAACTGGATACAACTTGTAAAATAAACCAATCTGTTAAGTTATAGACTACACTAAGAATTCGATTTAAAAAAAGTAATAATAATCATTTATAACAGTGATAGAAGAAATTTGCTCTATAATGTAAGCGGTTTTACTTTCGAACTTTTTGTCTTCTGACAGTAAAACAAAGTATTCATCAAAAGCATTGTCTAATGTATAATGAGTATGCTGATAGCTGCATAGTTATAGTATTTTATGTTAATACCAAACGTCTATGTCATTTGTTTATTAAACAATTAAAAGAAGTATCTATACGATAGTCAAAACCTAATTATCAACCTTAATATTTGAAATTCATAGTCAGAAATCTAATAATTACCAATTATTTATATTTTACAGATAGTATGGTACAACTACTTTTATAAATTATCATTTGCAATTATAAAAATTGATCCAAATTATATAAACAACCTTTCCAGCTTATTAATCTTACCATAAAGATTCAAAAAAATATTTTTAAATAATAATGCTTTCGTTTATTATGAATAAGCAAAGATGTATTTTTTTAAATAACAATATTTTTAGTGCAAATAAAGTTCCTCTGACATTGTTGTAGTTTTATTTGTAAAAGTGGTAAATTGATAAATACTACACTTATATACAAACACATTCTTATATAACATAGTTAATTCCGTAGAGAATCCCACAAAAACTTTTCACAGCCCTCTACATCTTTTCACAATAACTTAACAACTAAGCATAAGCTTAGGCTTCGGCTTAGCAAAATTTTTGTCCAAACCATTTACAACCCGTATGTACTCCCACACTTTACCACATCATTTTTCTTAGAGCACCATCACTACCATATACCGCAGTCCCCACACAATTTTCGTGGAATCTCACAGATACCCAACTGACTATCATGGGCGTCAACATCTACATATATATTTGTTAAAACCAGCCTGTTGAGGTAGCTGACATATAGCAGCGAGGGGAAGTTGGGGGTGGTGAGAGTCTTCAAGAAATCGGTTCTTGAGATTGAGCAATGGTAAGCACCCTGTGATAGAGACTCTAGGTGTGGTGAAGCAGTACTTCTGCTGAACTCCGATGCCACTGTCGGAGCTAGCACCGTTGGAGTGTTAATAATCTTTAAGTCTAAAGTTTTATTTTTGCTGGAAGTCCCGAAACTCACACCTGGCTTTTTTTTAACCCTTTAACGACGTTTTACAGAAGTAACAAACACTGGCATCGAATGGTTTGTTTTGTAGCGTTGGATTCGTAAACTTATGTCAACCTTTGTTTTAGTGTTTTTTGAAACAGGTTATTATATCATAGCATGAGCCACGAGTAGTATTAAAGACTGAACTTTTTCTTAGCTGAAGAACTTTAATATCAAAACATTTTTTACATTAAAGCTCAATTCAATCTGTTCCATTTTTAGCTGTAGTATTTCTAATGTAATCTGTTCAAATACAGCAAAACTTATTTGTATCTTTAGAACATTTATGATTTTTAGATCCACCAGAGCTTCCAGGATAATGTAAAAAGAAAGTTGTAGTAAGCCGTAAAAATATTAAATCTCCACACGTTTAGAATCCTGTTCAGATTGCAGGGAAATCAGCCGTGATAACACTCATACCTCAACAGGCCTATGCATAGAAGTTTTCTGACTTTGACAAGGACAACGTCATTTTATCGTCAGACACACTACGGTATCATCATCACATTCCAGCACTTCCCTGTAAGACATTGCACCTTCACTGGCTTTATAACTACGAAGAGCTAAACCAGAAAATCATTTCCCACATCTCATTTTCTAAGCAGTTGTCATTATGGTCTACATACTTTATATCAGTAGGTTTTTGAGGGTACTTAGTACCGCATTCAGATAAAGTACCTATAACTTATGATACCAGCTTTGTGACAAGTAATAAAAATACTTTGGATATCGATCCAAAATTAAATACCATCCAGGTAGTATGCTAACTAAGGAACCACGTACATGGGGCACTTTGAGTTCACCGCGCGAAACGAAAGCAATCATTCAACTTCTAGCCCAGACTAACATCTAACTGAAACACATGCTGGATAGGAGTTCTGACACGTTGGTGCGAACGCGTACGCAATTGGAAGCATTTCAAACAAATGATAGAGCTCGGATTCAATTGTTGAAGGAGGCCCTGCATAACACGTGTAATGAGGTATCTCCCTATCAGAGGAGTAATCTTCAGAAGATCGGTAATAGTATGATATCAGCAGCAAAAATAGAGTTTTTTTTTTTAGTGCCACTGCGTTTGAGTACTCATCGCAATTTATTTGTGAATTGGACGAGTACATGTGGGGCATAAGGGTTGGTCGTAAAAAATTTAAATATGTTGTTGTCCAACCGTTAAAATTTACAGCAGCAGATTGGTGGGCTTTCGTATCATATTATGTCCATGACTTTGACGATTTCCCAGAATTTTTTAACGCTTAATATTGAAACAAGGAAACCTAGATGTTGATTTGATGGGAGCTCAAATTCAGGTACTTACTATATAGAGAAAAGGAACTATTTATGATTCTATCCTATATCTTTGTAATTGAGCCCGATATTTCACCCAAGCACCTACTGAGTTTGAGATGATGCATCAGTTTGCGCATAAGAGACATAAGAACAATCACCGATTTAATGTGAATGCTGGATTCTCCTTAGGTGATGAGTGGATTCAATTAACCC